GCTCTTCCCAACTTCCGATTGTGTTTTCAGGAAGTCTTTTAAGCCAATGCCGGGCTGGCCCTTTAAGCTTGAGGGGTAAGTATTTTATGGCGTGGAGGTCATCTCCTCTAGCCATATGTATGTGGAGGATATAATCCTCGATCCAGACTTCAGGGTCTGTTGTTCCATCATATGCCTCTATGTTTACGGGTTTGAATCCCGCTGGAAATTCATAATCCAGGACCTCATCGGTGAAACATAGGGGGTGTGCGGCACCCCTGTATTTGGGTGTGCCGGATTCTGATAATGGCTTTATTGCATTGCTTACGAGAGCTTGCTTTCTTGGCCCGTAAATGGACCTGGCTGGGCCATGATGCGAATCCTTAAGTGGGTTGCATGCCGGCTTAAGTGCGGCGCTGCTTGCCGCTTTATGCTGGCCATGGGGTCGTTTATCCGACCGTGTGGCTTTCTTACTTTTTGAATGCGAGGGCTCTAAGGCCTCCTCGTCGAATTTAGGCAGTAGCTTTCTCTTCGTATAGCTTTTAGTGCGGCAACTGTTGCCGTATTTGTCTACGGTATTGATTACTTTACTCCATCTGATCCTGAGTGCATCTTCCGCAGTTTTTAGCTTCCGCTTCTGCTTTTTCAGGCTGCGTGCGGTTGCAACGAGCTGTCTGTGGAGGTTCTTCTGCTTCGTGGGCTTGTCCGGCGTAGGGTCGTCCGGAATGCCATTTTCGCCGGGGGAGGGATGTTCGGTTTCTCTATCCGGGTTGTCCTGTTGGGACGGTTGCTCTAAGGCATGCTCATCGTCTATCGGCTCATCCTGCTTTATGGCTGGGTCTTTATCGAGGCAGGGCTTGGGTCGGCGTTTACGCCGACGCTTTGATTGTTTTTTGAGAGATCGATCCCTCTTTCTATCCCCGTTTTCCTCGTTGTTGCTTCCTTTAGGGGTATCCACCATGTACACATCATGAGATGAGGTGGCTGTCCAATGCCCTATAGGCGTTGGTTCTTGGTTGTCTCCTGCATCTCCGTTCATACCGTCGATGTCTTCGGAGTCGAAGTCGAGCATGTCGATTAAGTCGTCGACAGTGGCTATGAAGTGGGTGGTGGCTGGGTTTTGAATTTCTTCATCGTCCGTATCCCAACCTTGCTGACCGTAGTCCGGCCAGGGCTCTCCTGATAAAGAGAGAGACTTTAGAGAATTCAGGATGTCGCTGAAGGGCGAGTGCTGAAAGATGTCCGCGGCGGTGAACTCCATTATCGGCGCCCAATCGGATTCGACCGGCAGGGGCGCGGGGGGCTCGGAGTTTGGAGAGGAATCCGGCTCCTCGGAGTCACGGGCCATGCGGAGTGCGGGGCTGGAGTTCGGCTTGATCGCCTCTGAGATCGCAGCCCCTGAGGCAGCGTCCAACCGCTGATCCTCGATCGGCGTAGTAGGCTCCGAATCAATGGTCGGAACCGGTGCGTGTGCGGCCTCCAAAGCGTTGTTCGGCGGCAGAGCTATATCATGCCCATCGAGACAGTGCGGCGCGCTTGGCTGTGGCTCGAATCCGTCGAAGATCAAGTCCCCGCGGATGTCAGCCGTGTAGTTTAAGCTTCCAAACCTGACCTGATGGCCAGGGGCGTAGCTTTCGATCTGCTCAAGGTGGCCAAGCGGATTGGCCCGCAGTGCAAAGCCGCCGAAGACGAAGATCTGTCCGGGGAGAAAAATCTCACCCTGGACTACATCGTTGTTGATGATCGAAGGAGCCATCGGGCCTAAAAGCAACGACACAGAGGAACTCTCAATGAAAGCACCAATGTCGGTGTCAAAACCGGCGGATCTCGGGTAGGGGGTCCCGAACTATGCGTCTAGGCGGATGGTAACAGGAGACAAGGGACACAATGTTTTACCCAGGTTCGGGCCCTCTTGATGGAGGTAAAACCCTACGTCCTGCTTGATTAATATTGATGACATGGGTAGTACAAGAGTAGATCTACCACGAGATCAAGGAGGCTAAACCCTAGAAGCTAGCCTATGGTATGATTGTTGTATCATCGAGTCGTCCTACGGACTAAAACCCTCCGGTTTATATAGACACCGGAGAGGGTTAGGGTTACACAAAGTTGGTTACAATGGTAGGAGATCTTGAATATCCGCATCGCCAAGCTTGCCTTCCACGCCAAGGAAAGTCCCATCCGGACACGGGACGAAGTCTTCAATCTTGTATCTTCATAGTCCTGGAGTCCGGCTGAAGGTATAGTTCGGCTACCCGGACACCCCCTAATCCAGGACTCCCTCACACTTCCTCCTCCAGCACATTGTCCGCCACGTCCCTCTGTACAGCATTCAGAACCACGACCCTCTGTGCACCGTTCAGAACCACGACCCTCTGTGCACCGTGCAAAACCTCATCCTTCACAGCCAGGGAGCTCTTCCTGGCATGAGCCACCTCCTTCACAGCCAGGGAGCTCTTCCTGGCATGAGCCACCTCCTTCACAGCTAGGGAACTCTTACTGGCATCAGCAGATGAATCTAGGTAACACTACTCACTACATTCTTTTGAACAGTGTAGTAATCGTTCTTGCATTATCAGCAGTCACTGATGCTTACTGGTGGTGCTTCGTTCATGCATTTGTATCAATTTTACATGTTTTACTTTACCGCAGGCGGCAACCAGTCGCAACCGTTCATGCATTCAGAGCAGTCACCGATCCTTAGTGGTGGTGCTTCGTACTTTGAGGGCGACCGCGAGGATGATGACCAAGCTACAAACATTTATGGCTTCTCGCAGACAGTGTTTCACACTCCACCACCACCACCGACGCAGGAGACACAGACCGTGACAGACGAGGTTAACTATGGTCATGGTTATCGCGAGCCTCGTCCACCGCCTCAGCGCTTATCGCCTTCCCCCGCAGTGATATGCTTATCTATCTATGTATGACTCATTATCTATGTTAGTTTCAGACTATTCGCAGCTGTGTGTCAGTATTTATGTATGAGACATGCTTCATGTATGTGTTACTATCGCACTTGCTTCTATGTGATCAGGAGACATATATTGTTTTATGTATGCGAGAGACATATTACTATTAATTCGCATTCTTATTCTAGTTACATTTCCAAATAGACTACAACCGATAATTAAGATACAAGTACATCTAAATTAAACGGTGCGGCTGAACTTGTGCAATACATCTTACATACTACAAAATGAAATTCAGATAGAACATAATGCCCTACAATAATACAATACAAACTAATAATGCAAATACATCTGAATGAAACGGTACAACTGGAATACATCTTACATACTACATGAAGTCATCATCGTCATCCTCAGTTGATGCAGCCCTCTTGCCCTTCGACGATGCGGTCCTCTTGCCCTTCGTCGATGCAGAACTCTTGCCCTTGGTCGATGCAGAACTCTTGCCCTTCGAGGATGCAGAACTCTTTCCTTTGGACGATGCAGAACTCTTGCCCTTCGACGATGCAAAACCCGGAAGCGGCGGCATGAAGATATCATCGTCGTCCTCGCTCTCCTCAGTCCATAAAAATGAATGCTTTTCTGCAGTCCTTCTGAAAGTTTCACTCTTCGGCTCCACCACCTTCTTCCACCTTTCATGCAACCTAAGAAGTTCTTTACGTACCTCCTCATAGGTCCTTTCAGACCACCCAGACCTTCGTAATTCGTGAGCCAACTCATTCATTATGGTGTCACTACCGGTGAGTTCGTCCCATGGAACTATCCTATTGTCCATCCTGAAATCGGTAGCTAGACTCAGCAGAGTGCTACTCATCTCAGGGTGAAAACTACGATCGAATGGATAATGGGATATCTCGACTACACTACACTGGAATGCTTATCCACCTTCGTCTGAAGGGGGTTTTATAGATACAGAGGAGAAAATGGCGGGAAAGAATAACTGCGGTATGGCGGAAAAGGGTTGGCGGGAAAATAAGGCGGGAAGGAATTGGCGAGAAAATAAGACGGGAAAGGATTGGCGGGAAGGGGTTGGCGGGAAACGGGTGGCGGGAACATATGGCGGGAAGGGGTTGGCAGGAAACAGGTGGCGAGAAAATACATTTCAGTGTGTTATATGAGCCATGCAACTTCGGCCTACATGAGACCAAAAAGTACTTTTCGGCCTAGACTTGACCAAAAAGTCTATTTCGGCCAAGACTTGATCAAAAAGTCCTACTTCGGCCTATATGTGGCCGAAAAGTCCTACTTCGGCCAAGAGATGGCCGAAAACTCTACTTCGGCCTAGCTGTGGCCGAAAAGTCCTACTTCGGCCCAGAGATAGCCGACGGGCTACTACTTTTGATTTTTAAGAAAATCATGCTATAGTTTTCGAAAATGCTATAAAATATATCATAGTTTTGAAAAAAAAATCTGGATTGAAATCCCAAAACATAATCCATTGAGTGGGATATCCAACACGGCTACATGTTGATCCCGTGTGAGCTGGAATGAGGAGAGAGCTCGCCCACGCAGTTTATATCAGCCACCGGGTGAGAATAAAAGGATACCAAGGTACATCTAATGTTCCCTCTAGAGGGTAGAACGAGCGAACGACCGTTGCCCCAGCCAAGACAAAACAAATGTTTTCGTTTGGTAAAGAAAAAACACTCCCAACAAACGCTTAAGAATTGCCTTCCGAAAGCAAATAAATTTGTCATGTTGTTGTATAAGAATTCATCATTTTTTGAAGTAAAAATTGCCATGATGCATATAAAGATTATCAGAAATTTGCCATGCATTTTTCATGGATTTTTAAAATATGTCGGCAAAGAAAATGATATGGGTAGGTGTATAGCCGGAGGTCAAATAGTGATCAGTGTAATGTGTATACGCGTGTACGTACTTACGCGACATGTTGTACAAAGAACGAATTTAAATACAGTACGAAACGAATGCAAGAGGGCACCTAATTAATCCACAGGGAGGAGAAGAAGAATTGAAAAACCTTCACTTATGCTGTTGTCCGAACGTAGAAACTGAACAGAACACGCTCCTAGCTCCATGTCATGTTTAGCTATCGAAGAGCTTGAGGCCGAAGCCGACGTCCTCGCAGTGCCGGACGTAGGGCTTGACGCGGGCCACGTCCACCTCCTTCTTGGCCCGGCACCCGAGGATCGGCGGCGAGTGCAGGCACGGCTCGACGGACGTGGAGCGGACGCACGCGACGTCGGACACCTCCTTGTTCCAGTCGGGGCGGAGCAGGATCCACGGCTTGACGCCGGCGAAGCCGTAGGCGACGTAGCCGAAGGTGGACCAGGCGCTCATGGCGATCTTGTCGCAGTAGCTGAGGAGGTAGATCTCGGCCAGCGCCTTCTGGTTGTGCTCGTTGGACGCGTACTCCTGCTTCTCCTCGTGGCTCGGCTGGTACACCGCCACGATCTCCCCCGTCTTGGTGGGGCTCTCGTAGTAGAGGCCCCGGATCTTGTCGTAGTAGCCCGAGTAGAGCGACGCGATCAGCACGGCCTTCACCTTCCCGTCGTCGCCGGTCGCGTTCGCCGGGGACGCCGGGTCGCCGAGCTCCGGCAGCAGGCGCTGCTCCCTGATGCACCTGGTGAGCTGGTCGTACATGTTCTCAAACTTGACCGGCTTCTCCGGGAAGATCCTGATCTGGAAGCCGATCTTCTCGTCCACGCGGGCGAGGTAGGCCTCGTAGTAGCGCCGCACGATCCCCCACACCCGGTCGGTCGGGTGGAAGAGGTAGCGGCCGAGGTGGTGGAACACGGCCTCCCTCTGCGGGAACATCCGCGCCAGCTCCTTCTCGTACATGGGCGTGAGGAAGAGCGCCGGCGCGAAGTAGCTGTCGGACTTGAGGATCATCCAGGTGAACTTGCGGAGCAGCCGCTGGTCGTCGTCGCAGAAGATGTTGTCCGACAGCCGCAACCGGGTCTGCTCGACGTGGAGGTACACGTGCGCCGGCAGCGACGCCGCCGGCGTGTCGTGCCGGATGACGCCGTTGTTGAGCATGTTGACGTAGCTCTCGGGCGCGCCGACGTTGAGCTTCATGGGGTTGCCCTCGGGGAAGCCGCCGGGGAGCACCCAGGAGGTGGCCGGGAAGGGGTCGCAGAAGAGGCCCTCCTGCTCCGGCGGCACGTTGAGGAGCATGACCCGGCCGGAGAGCAGCGCGTAGAGGAAGGTGGAGGCGATGGTGAGCATGCGGTTGCCGAGGCCGTTGCAGGGGAACCACACCACGTACCTGCACTCGGCGCTGTCGGCGTTGCGCCCGGCCTGGAGCTGCTCGACGGCCGTCCGGTACCGCTGCGTGCCCGGGCCGCACTTCTTGTGGTACGCCTCGTACTTGCGCAGCTTCTTCACCAGGTACGGGGAGAGCGGGAACGGCGACGGCTTACGGTACAGGGACGACTTGTATCGGCTCTGGCAGGTGGACTCGTCGAACGCCGCCGAGAGTAGCCCTCCCAGGAGCTTGTCCTGCGACGGCGACGGAGTTGTGGCTGCTGGCGCGGTTACGTTCTTCGGAGGGATTACGTTCTCTGCAAGAAAATTTTAACTGAATGGTTAGAATCACATATCTTGGAGGCATTTGCAGACGAAAAAGTTAACTGAATGGTTAGTAAAATGCTAGTAACTCGCTTTCTACTCGCCCGTCCCCTTAAACTCTCAGGCTCGGAACTCTGTATTTCCGTTGTTATTCGGTTGATGAAAAAGGGGGTAGTGCCCCGTTCAAAAATTTGCAGACGAAGAATGGCTTTGATTTGTCAGTAACATCAAGCAATTACTCCCTCCGTGTCGAAATATAAGAACATTTTTTACACTAGCATAGTGTCAAAAACGTTCTTATATTTTGGGAGAGAGGGAGTAATATCTACTGTGCTACAATTGAGAGCTGATTTCAGGAACGGCGTAACATTTTAATTTTGAGTGTTTTCCTGACATTGTGCAAGCGAAGATTGAGAGACTACTCAGGTTGGAGTCAGGCTCACCACTTTTGGCCCTCAGTAGTTTAACAAATTATTACTTTTACGGAGCCTCACCCAGCCAGATGGACACATGGAGTAGTACTTGAAGAATAACAGTACTACTACTTGTCTCACAAAGTGAGGGACCACTCATCATCAAGTAAAAAGGTGTGGACATTTTGGAGCACCCTTTGCAGGGGCAATCCACCGACATTACGGCACAAGCCACATCCCTTCGGGAAAAGATTGATGAGGCAGGACAAGATCCGCAAAAGGATGCTCCAGCGTCAGAGGCAGCACTGTCGCCACAGCGCCAGAACCAGAGGGAGGGCTGACTATTCAGGAGCAGGACAGTCGCCCTGCTCCTGCTAGCTACTCCCTTCGTTCCGAATTATTTGTCGCACGTATGGATGTATCTAGATGTATTTTAGTTCTAGATACATTCATTTCAACGACGAGTAATTTGAAACGGAGGCTAGCTAGCGAGCGCGATCTGATGGTCTGATCCACGAGATCGCCAGCGATCCGGGCACAAATCCGGCCAGATCTGTGGTAATGATAATGCCGGTGTTTTAATTAACGAGTAGGAGTACTCACTAATTGCTGAAGATGGCATCCTCGTACCTCCTGCAAAAAGCCAATTTCCGCACTGCTAGCACTACTCTGCTGGATGGTGTGAATAAAGACGCGGATTTTGCTTACCGAACCAACCCCGACCAGGAATTCCTCCGCGTACTGGCGGTCAACGATCGGGCTTTTCGGCCATACGTGGGACGTGATCTCCGCAACGAAATTCACACGGGGAAAAGGAAGCTTACTTTTGGGCGTTGCGCTTTTGCCGCCGGCGCCGGCGACGACGTGGCGGCCGCCGGCCTTGGGGACGGAGGACGGCGAGGAGGGGGCGGAGGGGAGGGCGACCGGGCGGCCGCCGAAGGTGAAGGCGAGGAGGGCCAGGGTGACGAGGAACCCGACCAGCACCATCTTGGGCCGGACGGCGCCGCCCCACTTGGCGCTGGCAGCCCGCCTCTTGTCGTCGTCGCCGCCGTCGGCCGGAGCCCGGGGGCTCCGCGCCCGCTTCATGTCCATCGCCCTCGCCCCTTCGCCGCTCGCTCTGCCTGTTGACCCCCTCCGCTGGCCGCCTGTCTATGATCCAGTTTGTGTATGGCGGCTTCGCTTGTGCCGGCCTCTCTCCTCTCTTGTGCAGTTCTGCTTGGTGGCTGCTTGGAGGTGGTCAAACTGCGGGAAGCTACGCGGGCAAGAGATGGGAGGAGGGGGCGAGTGATGCCGACGTGTGCCCGCTGGGGCATGGACTTCTCTCCCTTGTGATCTGAAGAAAGGAAGAAAATAGACGGACCTGCGTCCGTGTTTTTATTTTTTGTGAATGCATCGTCGGTTGTTGCAATGGAGACTATTTGTACGTGCACCCACATTCCCCAGCAATTTTAAATATTTCGTTGGTTGTCTCACGGCACTTGTTGGCTTTCGTGGTGTCTGATTAGCTCATTGGTCGTGGCGTGTGGAATCGGTTGAGGACTTGGAGCATGATTGGTTTGTTGCCAATATTCAGCTAGCCAAATGTTGGCAGTATCAAGACTTGTTAAATATTGACAACATTATATGAGATAGGCAACAAAACTCGGCAACCAATGAATAGCTAATATTTGGCATGATGCTAAACATTGACATGCCAATTTGTGGCACTAAATCAATTATGCCCTTGTCCAGCGCATTTCGCAGAAAGGGTCTTCCTGTGTAATTTGACTCACTTGCCACGCCAAGAGTGGAACCGCAACTCTTTCCATCTTCAAAAGAGAAGTGCATCACCGTCGTAGGTGATCAGCAAAGTGAAGGGGTGATGCTAACGACGAGTTCCGCGGGAGCGCCTATGCCCACCATTTGCCGTGGGAAGCAACCGAGCATCACAATACGGACGATGCAAGAAGCAGCAATGCCCCCCCCCCTCCTCGCGTACAAATCGATGAGGTTGTCTGCGGGTGAGCCAATGCAGCGTATTGCTAGCGATCCGAAGCCCGCGCGACCACCCATGTTAGGAAGGGGCACCACACTGTTGGATTTCCCGAACGAGCTGCTTGAACCAGTTTAGCGATTCCCCAAATATTGCATCCGGACTCATTGCGTATGCAACAAAATGTCAAGGTTGTCTGCGGGTGAGCCAATGCAGCGTATTGCTGGCGATCCGAAGCCCGCACGACCACCCATGTTGGGAAGGGGCACCACACCGTTGGATTTCCCAAACGAGCTGCCTGAACCAGCTTACCGATTCCCCCAAACATTGCATCTGGTCTCATTGTGCGTATGCAACCGTCGCCATCCTCAGTTAGTGAGAACCTCGACGATTACCGTGTAATACAAGATGCACTTTGTTTGGCGGCATCATTCGGCGGCACTAAGGGGACAAAGAAGAAGGTAGGAGGTGGCGATGGCGAGGGCTAGGGTTGCCCTGGTCACCGCAGAGGAGAAAAAAATACAGACGTGCTCACCGCAGAGGTGGCGATGGCGAGAGAGGACTATTTCCGGACGACCTTTATGTGCATTGTAAAATTTGGGACACCGCAAATTCTTCAAGGGCGCCTACAAAACAAGAAGTGCTCATGTGCCCACACATTTCCCACTAGTGTGCCGGTGTACGTTTTGTGCCACTCCAGTTGTACTGCTCTCCCCTTTTTTAGCAGGGAGTCAAAATAGCACACGACACGGCTAGCGGCTAGCCCGGGGGCTCCGTCTCTTTCCCGATGCGTTGGCCTTGGGCAGCCCCACATGGAGCTGTCAGTTTGCGACATGGACCTGTGCAGTTGCGTTGGAGCCGTGTAGATGTAGCTGCAGTTTCTCTCCCTCCTCTCCTTTTTCAGATGAAGACGACCTCCCGGAGGTAGGTCATGTGGGTTGATCCTTCCACCGTGGTTGCGGCTTCGTTTTCATGGGGCGACGTGACGGACGCCACCCTCCTCCCCCTCCGGGATCGCCACTGCTCGGGCTTAAATTAGACGCCGGTAGGTGGCGGTGGCGGTGGCGGTGGCGGTGGTGGAGCCTGGAATCTTTCAGCGCCCAACGAGCCGGGCAAAACGGCCTGATCAATCGGCCGTGGACGCGAGTTGATACGCTCCTCTCCCGATTCACATTTTTTTTCTCTCTGTCCACTGGCTCTGACACAAAACTATCACATCGCCTTACCGCAAAACGCGCGCACACCGTCGCACGGCCCATAGCCGTGTAGGCCTGGACGCGGTAATTTTATACTGTGTAAGTAATTTTTTTTATGTGCCACGAGCATGACAATCTCTTTAAAAAGCACGATGATTCTTACTGTGGCGCGTGCGCTGTTAGGTTTAGCTGTGGATTTTCGCTTGGGTGCGGCAGGTGGTACCAGGTGGCGAGTGATCATGGTCTCTTGACGCAGCCATTCCGCAAGTGCAACGGAGACCCTTTCTGCACAAGCAACCTTGGGTGGCTCCGTGTACTAGGTGGGAGCCACTGTGAGTATTTGACACCGTCAAGTGCCGCTGCGCATTGCCCTTGTTTCAGTGAAGCAGCCCGTGGTCGGTACCAAGCATGTCTAGCAATGTTTACCCGAATGAACCAGTATTCCTGTCGTTTATCTGCAGCAGAAGCATACTCTGCCTAGCAGAAGTGCAGAACAAACACAGCGGGCGTATTTGGTTAGTTTCTCCAACGGGCATGGCTAGGAGAGCAACAAACGAGCCAGATGACCGAGCAGGGCCTGGTTAAGGAAAAAACAGGGCCAAAAACGTAGATGGCCAGTTGATTGGTTGCCTGCATTAGGGGTCTTGTCATCGAGATGCAATTTTCAGGTGTTTGGTTGCGTACGTGCATATGATTAAGAGTTAACAACAAAGCTTAACACCCATCAGGTTTGGCATCTCGTGTCGTTGAACACTTTGAGCGCGCCGGAGCTTCCACTGCCCATCGTGCCCACCACCAGCTCCCGGTGACCGTGGCCGTGGCCGCGCCCGGCTCGCCTGAGGGACTCTGAGCACCGGTCTGTCTTCAGCAGCAGTGTGTCGAGCACGGCCTCCGCGTCTACGGCTGGCGGAGCCTCCTCGCCGTCGAACATTCCCGAGGCGGCCACCTCGACCATCTCGTCCACCTCCCTGTCCCTCCAGCCACCTTTCTTGAGCACTGATCCGAGCTTGTCCAGGTAGTTGTCGACCCAGCGCGGCATCGACCTCTGAGGTGGCGAGCAGTAGCCTGACGAGGATGTGTTGCGGTGGAGGCTTCGGAGGACGATGAGTCGCGGCGGCGCCTGTCGGAGGCGGTGTCGCTCCAGAACTGGATCCAGCGCGGGGCCTGGCCGGCGCGAGCACGGCGTGCCCGTGCCGGAAGAGGTCATCGCGGCGAACGGGTATGAGATGTCCATCGGCTGGAAGGAGGACTCCCGGGTGAAGAAGTAGACGACGCCGACGCCGCAGCGGAGGACGCGGTCGTCGGTGACGAAGAAGACCGGGTTCCCACAGAGTTGTCAGCTGCAAAATCATTCTTCAGAACCAGCTACAGAGTTACTATTCCATATTCGACATGTGCAATTGTCTAACCCGAGGTGGCAATGACACAAGCAAGGCTGCCCACAGAGTTGCCAGCAAGCATGGTGGGCGTCTTGACGACCTCGTCCAAGAACTCTAGGATCAACTGCTTGGCACAAAACCGATCGAAGAGGGGCACCAGCGGAGCGGGCGAGCCGCCTCGCGCGGTCCGGGTCGGCCGGCCTCTTGCCCCAGCAGCGCGGCCACAAAGAGGTCACTCGGTGGGCGCGGAGGTAAAGCCGCAGCGGCGGCGGCTGGCCGAGCGGCTCGCGACTGGCTCGGGTCGGCGGCTGAAGCGGCGTGGCCGGCCTGAGGCGGCGTAGCCGGCGAGTTGAGGGCACGACAGAGGCAAGCCTGCGGCGGTGAGGCGCAGCTTGTGGTACAAACGGCGCGAGGTAGAGGCCGATTCAGCGGAGGCCACTTCGTCGGTCGTGGAGACGGCTTGGCGGCGAGGGGCGGGGCCGGCTCGACCGCTCCAGCGAGGGCGCGACAGCGTCAAGGAGCTGCAGAGTCGGATTGAGGATTAGGGAGAGAGGGAGGGATTAACTCGAGACACACGTCTCCAGAGAGCCACCCACGTGCGCCTCGAAGCGTCTCTCGGGCCTGGCTTTCGGGAAACTGCCGATTCGACCGTTCACAACGGGCCAGGTTCAGAGTTGCTTTAAGAACCATATTATGCGGGCTCAAAAATATATGCGAGGAACCAAACAATCGAGGTCCGAAAAAAATGCTGCACCGCGCGGCCTTGATTGGCCTTGATGCAAGCAACCAAACTCGCCCAGCGTCTCGCTCTAGAGAGCGGATGGGTCAAGAAAGAACTCCCACATGCCGGTAGTATAAGCACGGTCCTGTTTCCTAACTTGCAACTCGGAAACTTTTAGACGCGCGTGAAGCAGAGTCGGCGGCGCCGGTGTTGGCGTCAAGGCATCTGTCCTTTGTTTTTTGCTGTATCCCCACACCAGTTAGCTTTTTCTGTTCGAAGCTGAACTCGTGCAGAGGCGGGAGCGTGCAGCCTCCAAGCTTGAGGCTTCGCAAGGACGAAGCGCGAGGCTCCTGGCAGAGGCCGTAGCTGGGGAAGGTGTGGACGGATTGCCGGAAGTAGATCGGTCTGGCAACAGCTTCGAGGTCCCTGACCCCCCAATGGTCGATGCACTTGGCGATTAGCCTGTTCATGCAGCCGGTGTTGTGAGTGATGAAGAACTCGAGCCTCAGCCTGCTCAAGCTCGGGCCAGCTCCTCGAGCGCCATCCTCATCCAAGAAGCTCTCGACGGAGCTGGTCAATGCGCGCATGGCGCGGCGCTCATACCTCATAATGTTTGGCATAAAGGCGAACTTTTTAAATAGACGATGAGATCCATTCCTGTTCTTGTCGTGGTGAAGAAACACCAGGCCATGGTAGCGCGGTGGGAGCATGTTGCTGACCCGGAAATCGAGGGCCGGGAGCTCGCGCTGGAGGCGGCCCCAGCGCCTGGACAGCAGGCCGGTGCCGAGCGCCGTGCGGGTGTCGAGACGGCGCAGGACGAGGAGCAGGAGGTCGTCGGGGAGGGCGCTCACCCGGTCGTCGCCGCGGGCCGGCCGCGGCCGCCGGCGCAGGGGTCGATCCGTCCTGATCCGGGCCATCAGCAAGGTGCCTCCACCGGCGCCTGCGCGACGAATCGAAAAGCGAGTAGATGTCGCTCCCGCGGCCGCGATTAAATAGAGCCATCGGCATCGACAGCGATATCTCTTCGGATCCGGAATCAATGGTGGCAACGGAGGAACTCTACCCGATTCCGAATGAGAGACGTGAACCGCCGGCGAGTAGGAGGTTGGGATATTGGGGGGGAGGAGCGCCGCCGGCGAGTAGGATTTTTTTTCCCCATGCATTGGTTGCCCGAAAGGCCGGCATTGCATTCTGAATTTGTGACTCTTTCTCGCCACAATTTTTGACACTATCGGCTAAGAAGGCCGACAGCAACAACAATGAGCGTCCACAATGTGGCAGAAAAACGAGCAATTTGACACGAGTTCGTCTGAAGAAACAAGCAACACTGCCCCTTTTGAAACAAATACTATACTCTAGCTGTTACAATGTATATCAGTTGTTTTGTTATACAGTGTATGATCTACAAATGAAAGAAACATACCCCTGTTTTGCCCAAGACCCTGAGGACTGCTTCCAGCTGAGCACATGCTCCTCACAACTCGTGTTGTTCTCGTCGAAGATAAGGTAGATAATCTAAGTCTCAGGGATATAACTGGACTGAATACAAGCGCTTTACTGTATACTCCCTCTGTTCCTAAATATTTGTCTTTCTAGACATTTCAAATGACTACTACATACGGATGTATGTAGACATATTTTAAAGTGTAGATTCACTCATTTTGCTCCGTATGTAGTCACTTGTTGAAATGCCTAGAAAGACAAGTATTTAGGAATGGAGGGAATACGTTGTTTTTCAAGAGTTTTATATACCACAGCTACATCCTCTAGAGTCAATTAGTACACTATAATATTCAGTACTGCAGTATTATTTCAGCAAGCAGCAGAGGAGTTTTTTTAAAAGTGTTGTTGCATATTGCGTAACTCCCGAAGACATGTTATGTACTCCCTCCGTTTTTATTTAGTTCGCGTATTAACTTTGATTAAAGTCAAACTTTGTAAACTTTGACTAAATTTATAGACAAAAATATTGGCATATATAGTAACAAATCAATACTACTAGATTTATTGTTGAATGTACTTCCACATCATATAGATTTTGTTATGATAAATATTTATATTCTTTCCTCTAAACTTGGTCAAACATTAGAAAGTTTGACTTCGGTCAACTCTAATATGCAGAGTAAATAAAAACGGAGGGAGTATGAATCTCTGCCATAGGCAAGCGCAGGTGATTCATATAATTCAGTAAGCAGCATAGCATATTGGTGGATGTGTGATTTTTTTTGTTTTGAAAAGGGGGATTCCCCGGCCTCTGCATCAGAAAGATGCGTACGACCATCTTATTAACCAAATAAAGTAGTGCCAACATGGTTTCAAAGGTCTCCAAAAAAATAAAAAAGCATAGAAAGCTCACACAGAGCCAATAAGGGCTATAAACACCAAGTAGCCAAGAAAAGACGCCACAACCGGCTGGCTAAAACTAGATAGGGAAACTAATTGCCTATCCTATTACATGACCGCCATCCAAACCGGTTGAAGATATTCCGAGCTACCATCTCCCAGCGAAAAGACCCAGTAACCAAATGCTCCCTGGCCTCCGTCTGGGTGAGTAGCGACCACGAACGGATCAGAGCCGTAGTTCGGAATATGACCTGCAAAAAATGTATACATGATATTCTGTTAAAAACCAAATCATTTCTGCAAGTCCAGATAGTCCACAGCAAAGCACAGACTCCAACCCGAATATGTCTCGCTAAGTCAGGCTCAATCCCATTAAGCCATGTCCCAAATAACGCATTAACAGAATTCGGTGGATTGATATTAAAAGCAATGTGGACCGTCTGCCAAAGTACCTTGACCAACGGGCAATCAAAAAAAAGGTGTTTGATAGTCTCATCCCGATCGCAGAAACTACACCTAGCAGGTCCTGTCCAATTACGCTTTATCAAGTTGTTCGTAGTTAAAATAACTTGTTTATGGACAAACCACATTAACACTTTTATTTTCAAAGGAACTTTGACATCCCAAACATGCTTGGACGTAGGAATGGAGTTCGAATTAATAACATCAATATACATTGATTTAACCGTGAATACTCCAGACTTAGTCAATTTCCAGCGTAATTCATCGGGTTGTTGTGAAAACTGGACCTCCATCAGTCTCCTAACTAGACGGAGCCATTCTTCCCAACGATTGCCCGCTAGCGTTCGTCGGAACTGAATATTAAGGGGGGTAGATTGAAAGACCGATGCGACGAACACCTCACGTCGTTGAACAATGCGGTATAAAGACGGATATTGGATGACCAAGGGTGTCTCGCCGAGCCAAGTATCCTCCCAGAAACGTGTACTCATGCCGTTTCCAATAACAAACTTCGTCCTATTAAACAAGGACTGTTTGACTTTCATCAGGCCTTTCCAGAAAGGTGAATCGGTCGGCCTGACTGTAACCTGGGACAAAGTTTTTGTCTGAAGGTACTTGCTGCGAAGGATTTGAGCCCACATAGCATCATTCTCCGATGAGAGCTTCCACAGCCACTTGCTAAGAAGGCATTTATTCTTAACTTCTAGATTCTCAATACCTAGACCCCCTTGGTCTTTCGGTCTACAGATGATACCCCTTTTGTGTGATTGACTCTCCCCGCTGCCCTGCTGCTCAAGGCACTACGATTTTGGCTCTGGAATTCCAGCACCACCACAAAACAAAAAATATGCAAGACATGTATGCGGTCGATTCAGTCAATGAACTCTGGACATACTTGAAGAGAATCCAATTAATGAATTCTTTCATACAGTAACAGTGGCTACTTGAAGATTATTGAGTGGTAAACATTGACAGAATTCCAGACCATCTTAGGTCAGGCATTGCATTCTGAACTTGTGAATTTCAGCTAAAAAGGGCAACAACAATCGGCATCCGCGCCATTGAAAAAGCTCTGCCTGAAGAACAAGCAACCTGTTCATCTGAAAAACAAGGAGCATCCTCGACAAAGCTCCTTCAATATAACCGGGCTCTGGCCTACTTTCTAAAACAAAGCGTCACAGCACCTCAAGAATCTCCTAGATACTGCCACTGGGATTCCTTGAGGTGCCTGGAGGCTGTGGATGGCACAATGAAACTGAATGGGCAAATCTTAGCTCTGTCGCAATCCTACTGGACTGGAACTCTGGAAGATGATATAAGTTGTGACTGACAAATCAAAGAAGAGTGGCATGGAGTGGGTGAGTGCGTCACGCATGATCTCACGAAATGTAGGGAAGGCACCTTCCTTTTTACCTTTTTTTTGCGACAATTTTTACCTTCAACTTCATCAGTAAGCAAGCAGTAGTACTAACAGGACACGTAGTACCCAAGAAGAGACACAACTGCACTAGTACTTTATATTATCCAAAAAAAGTAAGCACTAGTAACCCAACACGTTGGCACCCAAGATTGGAATGATACACTGCCGTCTCCCCTCGTCTCTCCTTCTTCCTCTCCAAGTTTAGCTCCTCTTACATATAGACCTCCATCCGTCGGGATACCACGGCAAGGTTGTCACAGTGACCAAGAACAGAGGCTACAGAGCTCCCTCGATGGTGCGGACGACGGTGCAGGAGCTGGCGGCGGCCGTCGAGGAGCCGCCGCGGCAGTACGTGGTGCACGAGCGAGACCAAGACCACCTGCTGGCCGCCGACGAGATGCCGGACCCCATCCCTCTCATCGACCTTGGCCGGCTCACGGCCGCCGACGAGGCCCACAAGCTCCGGGAGGCCCTACAGACCTGGGGCCTCTTCCTGGTGAGCACCTCAGTTTCTAGCTAAAATCATTATACTTTTGCTGAGATTTTTATCCAGGTCACCAACCATGGAATTGAGGAGTCTCTTATGGACGCCATGATGAGCGCGTCGAGGGACTTCTTCCGGCAGCCGTCTGAAGAAAAGCACAAATGTAGCAACCTGAAAGATGGCGGCAGGCACTTGGAGGTGGAAGGCTATGGAAATGACAAAGTGGTAACCCCCCAGGATCAGGGCCTCAGCTGGAACGACCGGTTGCATTTGAGAGTGGAGCCGGAAGATGAGAGGAATTTTGCCAAGTGGCCCACCCACCCGGAATCTTTCAGGTTAATCACCTACCCCCTTACCTTCATTCTCTGTTGCTTCTCTTGATGATGTAATATTTTTTTTGCTTGCGATGCACTTTTCCCAACGACAAGTATTTCGGTACAGAGGGATTAGTTTTGTGAAATTTATTGATTAATTGCTTTCTTTAAAAGATATTCAGATCTTTTCAAAGAAGAAAAAAGGAATTCAGAGCGAATTCATAGAAACTGAAGAAAGAAATCAAAATCTTTGATTGACTATAAACTATTAATTCCAGAGTCTTTCTGTGTACAGGGATGTGCTACTTGAGTACGCAACAAGAACCAAGAGAATAAGAGATCTTATCTTGCGATCAATAGCCAAGATCCTGGACCTTGATGAGGATTACTTCGTCAACCAAATATCAAACAAGGCTCGTGGGTTTGCTAGGTTCAACTACTACCCCCCATGTCCGAGACCTGACCTAGTTTTGGGCATGAGGCCTCACTCTGATGTTGGTCTCCTTACCATCCTTTCTGTCGACCACGACGTCGGTGGCTTGCAAGTTCAGAGAGATGGGAAATGGTATAATGTTCCAGCCAAGCCTTATACTTTGGTGATTAACTTAGCTGACTGCATGGAGGTATGAAGCCAAGCACTTGCTCTCTTGAATAATCTGCAATCATCAGTGTACATATATCCTATTTCCTGCATCCTAATACAAGTATTTGATGCAAGCAGATAATGTGCAACGGAATCTTCATGAGCCCAGTTCATAGGGTGGTGACGAATGCCAAGAAGGAGAGACTTTCACTGGGTGTGTTTTATGTTGTGGATGGCGAGATGGTGCTGGAGCCTGCGCCTGGTTTGCTGGATGACGAGCGACCACCAAGATATGGGAAATTCAAGGCCAATGATTTCGGTTTTTCTTTCGACTGAATGTTTTCGTCAAGGGAAGAGATTCATCGAGACCCTGAAAATACAAGTTCAACATATTAACTAGTTGGCTTGTAGTAGTGATTACCTATATATGGACAATAATTAAAGAGATGGTTTCTTTTCTGTGAGTGGGTTTTCTACCTATAATATAATGGCCTTTCTTAGTAGTGATCAGTTGAAGATTGAGTGATATACATTATATATTTCCAAACAAATAAATATACACCAGTTGTTATAACAATCTTCTATATCTAAATAGCTGGCCCCCACTAACTATTTCTCTCAACATGCAAGTATGCTACATCATCACACCACATGCATGAGAAAAGGCCCACCTTCACTATCATTTGTCTCTCAACATGCAAGCATGCTACATCATCACACCACATGCATGAGAAAAGGCCACCTTCACTATCATTTGTCTCTCAACATGCAAGCATGTCACTTTATCATGAAACATGCATGAAAAAAGACTCATCTCAACATGCAAACGTACATGAGAATTTTTGTTGTATTAAGTTACTTATATTTAATAAATATTTTACAACTATATAGTAATCAAACATAATGAATTATAGTATGTATTTTCAGTTTTAGCTTTTTGTATTATTACTTCAAATATTCATGTTTCATAATCACATAAAAATATGTTACAAAATATTCTCACAACAACGTGCAGGGTATCATCAAGTATGATGTACCATGTACCCCTCCGCTATACCACGACTGCTATACATGGGAGCATCTTCGCCTCCTGTCCATCGAAAGATGACCATGTTTTGCCCAAGGCTCTGAAGACTGCTCCAGGTTACATCTTGCTAGTTTTTTTCCGAGAAGGCTCTGAAGAATTGCCCTATCTTAGTTCGTACGTTTCTCTTCTTTTCCGTTCTTCATATTTCTGCCGCCGCCTAGCTGCCCGGGGGCTGTCGCCTAAGTCGCACAAGGGCGTCCGCTCCTTCTCCCGCCCTGCGGTCGCCGTTGCCTGAGTCGCACAGGGGCGGCTGCTCCTTCTCTCCCCCCTTGGACGCTCATACTAACTCATATTGACGCTTATGGGTCCGGAGCAGCCATAATGGCACTTGTGGGTTCGAACATCTCATACAGACATTTATGGGTCCGGAAGAGCTGTACTTGCACTTATGGGTCCGAAGCAGCCGTACTGGCACACGTGGGTCCGGATGACTCATACTGACACTTGTGGGTGCGGACCAACCGTGCTGAAACTTGTGGGTCTGGATGTCTCATACTGACTCGTACTGACGCATGTGGGACTCATACTGACTCGTAATGGCACTTGTGGGTCCGCTCGACTTGTACTAACACTTGTGGGTGCGGAGCAGCTGTACTAGCACATGTGGGTCCGGACGAAACTCGTACGGACTCTTGTGGGTGCGGAAGCAGCCGTATTGGCATGCGTGGGTCCGGTCGACTCGTACTGCACTTGTGGGTGCGGAGTAGCCGTACCCACACATGTGGGTCCGAACAACTCGTACTGACTCTTATGGATATAGAGCAGCCGTACTGGCACATGTGGGTCCGGACGACGCTAACACTTATGGGTGCGGATCAGCTGACTGACGCATGTGGGTCCGAAAGGCACGTACTGACACTTTGTGGGTCCGGAGCAGCCGTATCGGCACTTGTGGGTCCGGATGACTAGTACTAGCTCGTACTTACGCATGTGAGTCCAGGCATCCCTTAAATGGGCCCAATTAATGCCACCATGGCAATTTGTAACCGAAGGAGCGTCCGACATGAAATAAAGGCACTGAAAAAGGAGTTGGACAAGCTCAGGGGCGACCCTCTCAGAACAGCGCCAACACATGCAGAACTGAAAATCAATGAGAGGTTAATCGAGCTTTATCACCGCGAGGAGATTATGTGGAGACAGCGTGCACGGATTGAGTGGCTTTCATCCGAAGATAAAAATACGAAGTTCTTCCATCTTCGTGCGAGTTTAAGAAGGAAGAAGAACATGATTCGGGCGTTACAGAACTCATTGGGAGTGCATGTGGATGATCCGACAGAACTCAGGGTTTTGGCCAACAACTTCTATCAACAATTGTACACATCCAAGGGAGTGCAGGGGCTTCAGAATGTGCTCGATCATGTGCCTTAGAGAGTGACAGCGGAAATGAACTCTGCTCTGTGTGCGCCATATATAACCGAAGAGGTAAAATGTGCTCTGTTCCAAATGTTTCCAACGAAAGCACCGGGTCCAGACGGATTTCCTGCCCAGTTTTATCAGAAGCATTGGGAGGTGTGTGGGGAAGATGTCACCAACATTGTGTTGAGGATAGTCAGGGGGGAGGAAAGCCCCGAGTGCATCAATGACACCATCCTTGTGTTAATTCCAAAGGTGACAAACCCTACGCTTCTTGCTCAATTCAGGCCAATCAGTTTATGCATTGTGTTATACAAGATAGCTTCGAAGGTTGTGGCGAACAGATTGAAGCTTATCCTTCCAGACATTATCTCTCGGGAACAGTCGGCCTTTGTACCTGGAAGACTTATGACTGACAATATCATTTGTGCTTATGAGTGTCTACACTTCATGAAACGGTCCAGGTCAAAGAATAACAGTTTCTGTGCTCTAAAGTTGGACATGATAAAAGCCTACGACAGACTAGAGTGGCCGTACTTGAAGGCTATAATGGCAAAACTTGGTTTCACACAGGCGTGGATTGATACAGTCATGACCATGGTATCATGGGTGTCTTTTTTTAGTTTTGTTTAACGGGGAAAAGCTTGAGTCTTTTAAACCATCTAGAGGGATTCGGCAGGGAGATCCAATCTCCCCTTACCTTTTCATGATAGCGGCAGAGGGCCTTTCGTGCCTCCTGAAATTTGGTTCTCAGTCATCACTTCTTGCAGGTATTAAGGTGGCGCCGACGGCTCCGGCTGTTAACCATCTTTTATTTGCAGATGATAGCCTGTTGCTTTTCAAGTCAAGTGTGGAGGAGGCTAATGAAGTATCAAACCCGCTGGACATTTATTGCAAGGCATCAGGCCAAAGGATAAATAATGAGAAATCTTCAATTTTTGTCAGTAAAGGATGTCCTCAAACAATAAGAGATGGAGTCAAGAACAGTCTCCAGGTACATAATGAATCTCTCAGTGAGCGTTACTTGGGCATGCCGACAGATGTGGGGCATTCCAAGAATGACACATTCAAATACCTGCGAGACAGAGTATGGGAAAAGGTGCGAGGTTGGATGGAAAAACTCCTGTCTGCGGCTAGGAAGGAGGTACTTATAAAGTCTATTGCACAAGCGATCCCGGTTTACTCTATGTCATGCTTCAGACTACCGAGAGGAGTATGTGACAGCGTAACATCCATCATCCGTCAATTTTGGTGGGGGAGCAAGAGAGGTAGGCGGAAGCCAGCATGGGTTGCTTGGGATGTGATGATCAGACCTAAGTACATGGGGGGTCTCGGGTTCAGAAACTTGGAGATGTTTAATTTGGCTCTCCTGGCTCGACAAGCATGGAGAATTATGAACGATGAGGACTCTCTGAGTGCTAGAATATTGAAGGCAGTCTATTATCCAGAGTGTTCCTTGCTGGAGGCAACCCTTGGGTCTAACCCATCACAGATTTGGAGGGCAGTAATAGATGGAAGGGATGTCATGGCCCAAGGAATTATACGCAGAATTGGAGACGGCGAGTCTACGCATATTTGGCGCCACAACTGGATACCCAGGTCAAGCTTCAAACGTCCCATCGCCTCCCTTGTTCAAGATCCACCGCAGCGGGTCTCTGAGCTCATAGAGACTACTACGGCATCTTGGAGGGTAGATCTTGTGCGTTCGGTTTTTACACCTTTTGATGCAGAAGAAATTTTGAAGATCCCTATCTGCACTAGAAGGGTGGGCGACTTCTAGGCTTGGAGTGAGGAGCAGCGTGGACACTTTTCTGTTGGCTCGCCCTATAGGATGTTGGTGCGCACTAAATTCAACAGAGAAAACTGGCTTGAGAGAGTGGAAGGGCCATCCGATATCAACACCGAAAGCAATGAGTGGACCTCCATCTGTAAGGTGAAAGTTCCATCAAAGATCAATGTTTTCTTGTGGCGTCTTGCAAGGCACTCGATCCCTGCTGGTGAGGTTCTTCACCGTCGCAATATGTCGACGACGGCATCCTGCCCATTATGCGGAGCCCATGACACCTGGAAGCATGCATTACTAGACTGCCCGATGTCCCGTAGCACATGGGTTCTGTCTTCAGATGACGTGATTGATCAGTTAAGCGGGGTTCAATATGAAGGGGCGAGGCACTGGATTTTTGCTATGAAAGAAAAACTGAAACAGGATGAGTTTGTGAGGCTGGCTGTAACTTTGTGGGCAATATGGGGAGCCCGTAGGAAAGCAATCCACGAGGGTATTTTTCAGAGCCCATTCACGATCCATAGCCTTATCAGCTCTTACTTGCGTGAGATTGAAATGTTAAATCAACCGAGTTTGAACCCGGAAAGAGCAGCTGTGACGAGACCACAGCGCTGGCTACCTCCCCAAGAGAGTCTCTTTAAGATAAATGTGGATGCAGCTGTAGGTCTTCGAGGCGAGCATGGATCAATGGGCACAGTATGCAGGGATCAAACGGAATGTTTTGTGGGAGCATCAGCTTTTGGTTTCACAAATATAGGGGATCCACCCACCCTGGAAGCGCTCGCGATCAGAGAGGCGCTTGACCTAGCCGATGAGCTTAACCTACATCACATTCAAGTAGCCACGGATTGCAAGGAAGTTGTGGAAGAAATCAAGAAGGGAGGGGCAACTAGATATGGTGCGATCGTCCAAGAGATAAAACTACATGCAGTTTCTTTTATTTCTTGTAGGATAGGTCATGAGTTTAGGAGCTTAAATTATGAAGCTCACAATTTTGCGAAGTTCGCTTTAACTTTGGGGCCGGGTCGGCATGTCTGGCTTGGGCAACCCGATGGGATTCCTTTCGTCCCTGTAAACATTGTGACGGTTGAATAAAAAGCTTCGCGAGATTGC